ATATATATATGTGTGTGTGTGTGTGTATATGTATGTATGTATGTATGTATGCATGTATATGTATATTCACTTAGTTTACCTTTACATAAAACACATATGAACTTCAGATGAGGAAGTCAAATTAGCACATGATGTACATGTGAAACGCAGGTTTTTCACAGATCCTGTGTAATTTTGTAACATTACCAAGTTCATGTGATCCTATAGTGAATCATGTGACTTTTCTACAAAGGTTTATACAATATTTTTTTTTACCTTCAAATGCAATGAGTTCTTTGTTGAATTGTTTGATGGGATCAAATAAACTGTGGGAAGTGCCTGAATGCTTTGGTAAAAAGACAATGAGACAGATCCATTCATCCATCATCTGTACACGCTTCTTCCTTTCAGGGTCGTGGGAGTCACTGGTGCCCATATCCAGCAGTCACAGTGCGAGGGTCAGAGTACACCCTGTACAGGTCGCAAGTCCATCACAGGGCCACATAGAGACAAATGAGACAAACAACTGAGCCACCATGCTGCCAATGAGAGAGATATTTTTATGAAATAGTGTGTTTTTCAAATAAGGGGTACATTTCTAACACTGATGTCATTTTATGTGTTTTAGTAGTAGAACTGAATAAAATAATTTGAATAATTGTCATAAATAAACTTTAAACTTGACTTTCAGTGGTTACAACTTCTGAAGTAAATTAAATTCAAGGTTTTACAAAAAGGCATGCTCACCTAATTTTTAAACAGTTAAAATAAGAACATCAGACTGAGCTGACAAACCCCAGACCGTGGACATTGCATTAAATCATTTAAACGTCCCCACCCAACACATTGTGTTCAGAAACCTGGAGGACAGTGATTCATTTCGTATCCAAAAAACAAACACTTGTTTTACAGAATGTGACATGAGTAAACATTTTGTTGGCCAGAACCTTTGATAAACATTTACAGTGAAACACACATCCCGGAAGTACTTTACAATTCTTTATCAGCAGTGATGCCCACACCCTCTTTATGTGTGTCAACAGTCTGCATTAACTGCTCCTGAAAAAGAAAGGTAAAAAAAATGTTATTTATGCCTTTATGCATACTTTAAGCTCTTGATGAGGTCTCCCTTGCAAAAAAGAAAAAAGAAAAAAAAAGAAAAAATATCCAATCTCAAGGGGATTTGCTTGGTTAAATAAAAGTCAATGAATAAAATATAAAATAATTTAAAAAATAAATATTTTAGCAGCACAAAATACAGAAATATTTCTTGTCCGGACTTTCAAAGTGTTGAATTAACAATAAAAGGTAGCATAAAGGAATTAATCCTTCAGTTTATATTTTAAGTTAAATGAATGATTTTGTGAGATTGTCATAAATGTGATAAATTTGTCATTTTTTGAACTAAAAAGGGATATTTGATGGTGGTTAGCAGCTTCACGTTTTCCTTTCGGATCTGAGTCTGTTCTCTTCACGCATGTCTGGGCTTCAAAACATGTTGGGACAAAACAGTCACTGAGACAGAGGAACTTCCAGCTTGTACTAAAGAATGTTGAGCAGAAAATCCCAGTTACTTCCATAATGAGACATCAGAAAACATCTGATGTAACAACAGATAAAAGGCTTTTCAAAACAGTGGTCACTCAAAACCCAGGCCTGCTCATGTACATAAACGTTACATGACCGCATTTAAGACATGTCACTAAATCTAAACGTTAAAATAAGAAAATAAAGCAGCAAAATAAATTTAATGATGACTCTCTGTTGCTCTCTCCTCACCAAAATCAAAGATTACTGAAAAATTCATATTTCGTACTTTTGGATTGAAGGTTTACCACCTGTCATGCAAAGGATGCACTAAATCCAACGAGAAAAATAAAAGTAAACCTATTTCACATTTAGACTATTAACTTTGGGACTGATTAAAATGTCTACGGGGGCCAGATTTGGCCCGCAGGCCTTCAGTCCAAACACTGGGTGAATGTGAGTGAAAAAAGAGAAGGGGATGCTGTTTCCTCCACTCTGCTGTGTTTGTTTTTACACTCGTTAAAGACGGAGGCACCAGGTCAAGTTTACTCACCAATACTTTATAAATACTTTTTAATACTTTACTTTAATTCATCAGACTCAAGTGTGCACTCGTTTAATTACAAGGAACTATTTTACCGTATAGTCAATGAGGAGGAATACCAAATTTGTCTTTTGAAATAAAAAATAAAAAATAATGAATTTAAAAGTTTGAAAATCAATTGGAGAAATCAAGTAGATGAAGTATTTACTTAGATTTTGATGTTGATACAATTTAAGATAAAATAAAGATTAATCAAGGATTATTCTTATTCATCAAAACAAAAAAAATCATTTGCACAGAAATCATTTTGTGTTTTAAACGTGCAATGAATGAAGACAAAATGTAATGGTTTGTTTGAGATTTGACCAGATTGCACAAGACTGTCAAGTTTCTTTATTTATTAGTATTTATTAGTTGTTACAATAATTGTCAAACAACAAATCAAAAATTTTCATATATAAAACATAACAATGACATAAAAAAACTTTAAGAATTTTCTTTTTAAGTGTAAGCATTTTTCATGTTGCCGCTGTCAAAGACAGGAAACATTAATCAGGTCAAAATAACCTTTTAAGGAAAACAGTTCCGTTCTGTTATAAAACACGACCTCAGATCTCATGTGTCTCTCTGTTGGACCTGTGAGAAACTGGTGACATGTCCAGATCCTGAGATCCTGAGATGAACCAAAACAGATGACAAATTACAACACAGTGCTCAACAAAAACCAAACCACAGCCAAGTGGCAGCCTGAGAAAAAAATAACTACACTTCTACCACTTTCTTGTGAATAAAGAGAGTAAGCTGCAGCCACTTCATCAAATGTTCACTTGCTTTATAAAACCAGATGTTTTGATGTTTTACAATCCTTAAACTGGGAGAAAACACAGTAAATGTAACTCAGATTTCACCTTTAGCATTTTTTAGTTTAGAACAGTGTTGAAAAAAAAATAGCAAGTGAAGGTTTCCTAGAGAAAGCCTCTTGTTTTTTTAAAAAAAGTGCAGCTTAACCCTCCTGATGCCCCTGGGTCAAAGTAACCCTCAAAGCCAGGGTTGACTTTACAAAGTCCAGTCTGAACAAACTTTAGGACTTTTGGAACAATGTCCATTTGGCAGATGAGACTAAAGTGAAATGGTTACCCACTGAGCATGAGACTGTATTAGCCACATGAGCTGCAACATTTTATAACAATTAAACTAAAGCACAGGAGTGGAAGCCTCATGATTTAGGTTTGTGCAGTCACAAGAAACAGACAAATGTAATTACATAAATCTGTTTCAGAAGGAATAAACATCATGCGACATACAGTTGTTCTTTTGTAACCGATCTCCATCCATCCATCATCTACTGCTTGTTCCAGAGTCGGGTCGCAGGGGCAGCAGCTTGAGCAGGGAGGCCAGGGAGGGACCACAAGATACTTAAAATCCTCCTCACCTCCAACCCAGAGAGAGAAATCCACCCTTTTCCGACTGATTTGGAGGAGCTGATCCTCATCTCAACCACTTCACACTCAGCTGTGAACCGCTCCAGTGAGAGCTGAAGATCACGGCATGATGACTCCAACAGGACCATATCATCTGCAAATAGCAGTGATGGAATCCTGAGGCCACCGAACCGGACACGTTGCACCGAGAAATCCATAAAAGTTATGAACAGAATCAGCAACAATGGGCAGTCTTGATTGAGTCCAAGGGGTCCGACTTCGAACCGAACTCTCGCCCCACTTGTTTTGAGATTGAATAGCACATGATGGACTCACGATCCCATAAATGCGGAGCACCCCCCACAGTGTACCTCGAGGAACACGGTCGAATGGCTTCTCCAAGTCCACAAAACACATGCAGGCTGGATTAGCAAAGTCCAATGACCCCTCGAGGATCCTAGTGAGGTCCAGTGTTCCACAGCCAGGATGGAACCTGCATTGTTCCATCTAAATCTGAGGCTTGACCATCGATCGGACTCACTTCTCCAACAGACCTTACCAGGGAGGCTGAGGAGAGTGATGTTTCTATATTTGGAACACACCAACAGCTCGAGCATGCTTTAAATTTGTTCTAAAAAAATAGAGAAAAGCAAATGCTGTTGTAAAAAACAAACTTATCTTTCACCATTTATGCGACAGTTAAACTTTACTGCATTTGAGGTGTACCGCAGATAAATTAGGATAGATGAAAAAAAAAACGGTACAAAACACAACTAACCCATGATGGCAAAACAAAGCTTCAGTTTGCCACAACATGAGCTTCACACCCATCAAACATTTACTGCTGATGTGATGATCTGGTGGCTGCACATTCCGAATTTTCACAACACAGTTTTCAGAAATGACAGCGAAAACCATCTGTGTGTAACGTTGTAACACAAGTGCAATTCAACACTCCTTAGCTGACATGATGAGCATCTTTCTTTTTCTCTTCAAAGGGACTTTCCAAACAAAGAGGAAGTGTTTACGAAGCAAGTCGTGACATGTTCGTATCGTCGTCAGAAGGAGACTTCATGACAGTTTTGATATTGAATGAAAACTAGGTTTGACATTAGAACGACACCATTTTCAACATGGTCTTTGTTTACACCACTCAAAAAGCCAGTGTGTTCTGTTCATTCTGATAAGCAGTCATCTGAGTTAAAACAAGGCTCCTAAACCTGTTACAACTGAGATAAATAACCTTCATGGTGAGAATATGTAAGGCAATGTTTTTGTAACACAGCAAATGATGATATCACCTTGTCTCATGTGATCTGTGTTACGTCTTAATTTTACTTTCGGTATCAAGCTGCTCTTAGCTCATGAATAACCTCAACGTTTAAAATTACAAATATTTTCATTATTTTTTTGTCATTTCATTAAATTGTCTGGCACAAACAGCACAGCTAGAACAGAGTCTAAAGGTGGTATTTGTGTACTGTAATCTGACTGATTAGAGATTATAAAATACTGTATTTTGGTGTGAGAGGGAGGAGCTTGGCTTAGACTGCTGGGGATTCCTGTTGCGTCATTCAGAAGTATATAAGCTTGCCTTCCTATTATTAGAGTGAACCTGCTCTGTCTTGTCATAATGCAACAGTGGAGCATAAAAGGCACTCGAAGCAGGAGAACCTGAAGCTTTCTTCTCTACGAACACATTCAAAATGGCAAAACAAGGTATCAAAATGAGCGATTTTGTATAAAATTGTTTTTGTTTTAAGTTTACAACTTTATTGTGTTGCATTGTAGCTTGATCAACCACGTTGTGTTGTTTTCTTCACAGAGTATAATGACGTTGTTGAACACTGTGCCCGTGAGCTCCGAAAAGTTGGAGACAAGCTGTACTGGAAGTACAAACTACTGGAAATACTGATCAACAACTACAAGACTGTGTATAAGATAACATGAGACGTCACAGCTGAAGAACATGAAAAGGGAATGAAAATATGGAAGAAGAAAAGACATTAAAAAGTAAAAAAGCCAACACAGAAAAAAAGTCTTGGATGTGGACTCGTCGTCGGTGACAAAGTGTCATCCCTCAGGGGGAGAGCTGGACATCAACCAGTGGAAACAAGTCGTCAGAGTCAGTGGTATGGACTTTGGACTGGGACCAGTACTGTACAGAGGAACAAGCTTGTGGGAGGTGGTTGATCCTGAGGCGTGTGGATGACTGGACCAATGGAGGTTTATCTGCTGACGCTGATAGTACTGCACATATATCTTTGTTTTGGGCTTTTTTGTGCCCGGTTAAAAAACTTTTTACAAAAACAATTAATTTAAATGTGTCCTCTCAAACTGACAGGACTGAACTATCACTACCTGTTTAAATACTAATACTAAGAATGATACATATTATTTCTTACTGTGGGAAACTTTATGTCATACTTATTTATAAGTGGATAATTTATTAATATTGCTGCCTTAAATAATTTTAATATCTATTTACTACTTTTTTACTCTGAGTGCAACTCCAATTGTTTTATTTATCTTTTATTTCAAGAATATATTGCTAATATTTGTGTTTGAAAATATATTTGATTTACTTAATAAGTTATCCTTAAAAATGACTACTTTTTCCAAGCTTGGCTGCTGCACAAAAGCCATATAAAAACCAAATGCATGTTAGTTTCGATGTGGCAGGTTACTTTATATTGATAGTATCCTGTTTTCTGTGACAATAATTTAGATTTTTAATTGTATTTGTGAGCAAACAGATTTTTATTAAAAAGCCTGTTGACTTTCTATGTGGTGCTTTAAGATTTTTTGGGGGTTGTTTGGAAATAGAGATTTTTAAAATTATATTTATTAAATTTCAATAAAGCCACTGAACCTGACCAATCAGAAAGAGAGAGGACCTGAATTGTGGTTGCAGGGTGGGAGGGCTCTTTAGAACTTGTGTTAGAAGTTGGGAGAAGGTTTGTTAGTGAATTCAAAAGGAAGAACCAAAAATGTCCTAAAGGGCCTCTCATATATTGGTATTAGAATTGAGAGGCCCAAAAGTTGGATATCCTCCAAAAATGGAATCCCAACTAGGAATTTCAGGGATTCTAACCTGGTATGATCTTAAAACTCAATAAGGATGACTCACATAAAAATCTGTAAAAAAATACAGCAGGGCTGGCCTATGGTATAGGCAGTGTAGGCAAATGCTAAGGGCGCCATCCATTTAGGGGGCACCACAAATGGGAGACAAAAACAAATATTTTCTAACTTTTTATCAGAGTATATTTGATTTAATTTGTAGAATAATTAATGGTTACTTAAATTTATGAAGGTAACTTGTTCTGTGGGTATCTCAGCCTGATTTGTTCCTACATGAGGTGTTACATGGTGCAGAGGATATGATAAAAGTATCATATGATGCAGTCAAGACTACTGGTGCTCTATGTGAAAAAAAGAAAAACTAATGAAGATGAAAAATTTCAGTTATGATCTCAGATAAAGTTCAGGTTTTCTGTTTTCCACCTTCATAAAAGACTGGTTTCATGTTGTTTTATTAATCTTAATAATTTAGTAAAATGTACTTCAAATGGTTGGAAAATGCATAGTTTTGAGTAGATCTTTTATAAAATTATCTGTGGGAGTATACCACTGGACCCCCCCCTATAACTGCTTCTCTCCACAGCTGCTCGTTAACATGAACAGGTGTTCCTCATTGCTGTCAGCAAATGTTAACAGGTATGAGGTAGACTTCTGGTGATCAGTTTCAAATTATGTTATTCACTATTTTAATTGGGCAACCTGGTTTCTAAAAATAAAAAAATGCAGTAATATCATTGACAAAAACATTTCATTTGGTATGTGAATGTATGTAAATTGGTGGTGAGACGTAGAAAATTGCACAAGGGGTGCCATCTGAACTCTTGAGGTACCAAACATTTGTCAGTTTGCATCTCAGAAATCCAGTGACACACTCAGTACTTTTCAAATACTATAAAACATGCTGCTACAATGTTTAAATGCACACAGAATGCAAATAAATAAAAATTAATGGTTATCGGCATATACTGTAGTTAGTTAGCCGGTCACTGAGCTCAACTATCAGCAAATGCTGAATGCACAATAAAGTTGGATCTGAAGTAATTCACAGATTTGCACTCTAACTTCAGACATAAATGAAACACAGCATGAGGCTCCACAAATCCAATAAAGAGGATATTTTGACTTCACTGAAACAGAAGTAGACAAAGATGTGCTGTTTATCTAAGTGTTTCCACTGAACAGACAGAAGAATAGTGAGTATTTCAGTCAATGCATCTGAAGTTAATTTATCACCATAAAAACAGCACATTCATGTCCACAGATCCACCTAATAGAATGTGTCTGTAATGCCAACAACATAAAGCTATCAAAAATGATGTCACATGTCAGTTTAATGCTGACTGGATAAATGTTGGGAAGGGAAGACAAAAATCAACTTCCTCACAAACGGGCCAAAGTGTGAAACAAACAAACAAACAAACAAACAAACAAACAAACAAACAAACAAACAAACAAACAAACAAACAAACAAACAAACAAACAAAAAAATAGTACAGGAGAAACCCAATCTGATAGAAGAACAATGACATGGGTGGAGAACAGCAATAACACAACAAAACATGATCTGCTTATCAGAATACCAGTCATATTTCAGAGACTGCCCCCAAGTGACCGCAACACAGCCTGACTTGTGGAGATGCATGTTGAAACCATCTTATAACATGGTGATGTGTTTAACGTACTGAACACAATACTGATAGAAATGAAATATTGTTTTTGTAGTGTTTCTCCTTTAGATTTTCTCTACAAAATCTCTGGAACATTTTACACTGTCAAAGGTTTTCACAAAGAATACAATTTTAAATTGGTTTTGATGGCAGGTTAAAATTAAATTACCATCTAACAGCAGGTTAGGAAAAAGGTAAGTATGGATGCTTGGTTGTCTGTGTATTTCTATACTCGTCCTGCTATGAACTGACACTCAGAGTGTCCCACAACCTGAAACAGAATGAAGCGTGTCCTGAATGAATAGATCATGGATGGATGAAGTCTCTAATGAAGTAGAAAAGTCTGCTGTTTTTTTTTTTTTTTTTTTTTGTCAAAAATGGGGAGCTGGGAACAGTTAGCAGGTTTGTCTCAAATCTCTGGCTTTAAAAGCAAACGTTCAAGTCTTGAACTTAACAGATAGCCATTGCTGGGTAGCAAGCAAAATATCACATTTTGTTTTTATTTAGTCTTAGGAATGAAATCTGGCTGCAGAGTTTCTGTATGAGAAAGATAATTTTAGAACCATGGCTGGACATTTATTGGTTTATGACGAAAAGTTGCCATGAGAGTGAAACCACTTTGTTTTTCTCCCCAATAAAAAAAGTGTTTTATAAAATTCTGAATTATTCCTTTAATTTAAAAAGTGCTCTCAGTCTAATTTAATATGGTTTTCAAGTGGTTGGCTAATACTTCCAAATATACACTCCTGATCAAAATCTTGAGACCAGTGAAAAAAGTGCAAGAATTTGCATTTTGCACTATTGGATCTTAAGAAGGTTCTAAGTAGAGCTTCACAATRTTAAAAGAAGAAATCAGTGCAAGAGACAAGAACTTTAGAGCAGGGAATTGTCTGAAAACTGTATTTACACTCAAACATGATTTTTTTCAGCTGATCAAAAGTTTGACCATAGCTCAAAAAAACCCTGAAAACTCCCCAAAACAGAAATCAAAGTGTCAAAAAAAGGACTCAGTAATGAGTAGCTCCACCATTCTTGTTGATGACTTCAAACAATGGTTTAGGCATGCTTGATGCCAGTGTTTCCAGGAGGCTAGTGGGAACGTTGCTCCAAGTGTTGAAGATGGCTTCACGAAGGGCATCCACTGGAACTGATGTCCATTTTTGTAAACTTCCCTTGCCATCCATCCCCAAATGTTCTCAGT